TTACATCGCACAAGATTAAAGAGAATACAACCAGCGCCATTAAACATATCTTTCAATTCCATGTTTGAATGCATCTACTTCCCAAATTCAAGTCCCATCTCATGGAACGAAATATACGATCAATGCCGAAATCGACCGAGCTGTGACATCAGTTGGAACGTACCCCGTATAAGATGAGCTTTACCAACCTGGTTGTGGCACTTTTAAAGAAACACAGTCAAAATACATCTTCTCAACCAAAAGCACTTACAATTCAAAGGCATTATTAGCACAACTTAAAGAAAGATGGTATTTGAGGATGTGATGATGTTAGTCGCGACCTGTAAATATCACCTCATTCAGTCGATGTATACTAATATAAACATCTGGATGAGTCGTTTGATACAGTGAAACCACTAGCAGTGATTTAGATTAGCAGACAAACTCTATGATCCTTTATAGGTTTTGTTAGTAGTGCTACTCATTCTAGGTAGCTTTGATTAGGTACATTAATTTTACGGAGAGCAATCAATTAGAACGAAAACATTTTCAAAAGACAACTCCTAATTCAAAGCAAAAAGAATTCAATACCATGCACAGGTTATGCATTTTTTGGCTCCATTAAATGATCTCCTGCATAGAACAGGTTAACTTAAGACTGTAATAAATGACTCGTTTACCGACAAAAGATATAAAATCATATATTTTGACATCAGGGTTTAGAATGTAGTGAAAGCCAGCAAACCTCACTAAACAACGCAAAAAAATAATGCCAGCTAAGTAAACTGTACAGTCAGGTTTTAAAGATAATGTTTGAAAAGTATAATGTATGTAAGTGCCACGACTGTAAACCTAATTCAATACTTAACAAAAAACCATAAGAGAAATAAATGTCAAACGAGTGTCTGAATATTCTTCATTAACATACAACTTCTCTTTCAATTTAGCCTTGGCCAGAACAACTCAATTAACAATGGCGTTCCAAAGAATATTCATACAGCAGTAGTTTCGTTTCACCTGCTCGACAAATTACATTTAGTTCTTATGGGATTTACAATGGTGAGCCAAAGAAAGGTATTCTTCAGACATCCGACCTGTATTTGATGTATCTACAGGAAAACGTATCACAAGTTTCTTGGGAATACTGAATACTTCATGCGTCAGAGCCGACCGAACAGTGTAGTTTGGTTTAATGACAATTGAAGAAGACATTTCAGTGTTAATGGTCTCACTTCTCTTTTATCTGGTATGGCTGTAAGGTTTTCTTAAGATTGAAACCCCATACGGAGAGAAACATGTCACAAAGGGAACACTGATTTAACCAAGTTCAATAGTGAATCGAACTAAGGCCATGAAGTATGTCATCTTTTTGCTCTCATAGATCAGTGAAATGTTAGCATGATCCATGTGGCAATTCAACACCAATAACAGAATGCTGACTATACGGTATCCGAATTTTAATTCTTTGAGACACAGAAAGTTTGATGATAATACTAGCTTATTTTTTGCAAAAGTGGGGCCAACATTGGCTCTTTAATGTCAGTGCAATAATGTCTTCGGTGATAATTTGATTTGATCACTGCTATCACTCCTGACTGTACGTTAAGAAACTGTAACGATGAATTAACTCATATCACCCGCAGATTCTAGTCGCTAATCAAGCCAGTTCAATTTGATTACCTTTAAATCAATCGAATTGTGGAGTCAAAGTATGGATGAAATAAACAGCTGAAAGGGGAGACGGGCAAGACGAGAAACCTACAGAGAATAAAGGAAGGAAGAAAAAAACTAATAAAGAGATGAAAAAAGACAGTTAATACTAACCTACTAAGTCCCCGTTAAGACAAGGTCTTCATCGCAGATTATACGAGTGCAAATCTACAACAACAAGAGAAAGCCAGTCGATCGTGGGTACATTCGATCATAACATCCGGGCAATGACTCGTCGGGAATGAATATTACCCCATTAACCACAATGCCAAAATTAAATTTGAAGCAAATGTAGCCTAAATTTGTCGGCTGCAGTTTCATCTGTTCTTACGCCTCTTTTGATCTTTAATTCCGGTTTCGTTTTCACCAAGTATTCCAACAACGAAGCTGACATTGTTTCTTGCGTCACCTTATTTTCCACCGCTTACCCAAGCCGTTTTATTAAATTCGTCTTCAGTTATAAAACTTTCACAAAACCTTTGAACAGAATGAACATCGCTGTTTCGTGGAGCTATTTTTATTTTCTTAGCATCGATGGAATCGTGGAATATTTAGTTCTATCCTAGTTTGTTTTTGTTTTTGTTTTGTTTTTTTTTTTTGTTTTTTTCATGTATCATATATATATATATATAGAAATTGGCTTTAAAGCTGACAATAGTCGAGCTATAAATGCTGTTTATTTTATTTCTCTTGCCAAGGTTAAGAAGGAACAGTGGAAATTTTCCAAACATTTTTTCAACAAGTATCTTTTTAGATTTTTCTAGCAAAAAAGCACTTAACCTAAAATGTTGATAAGCACTTTGATCCTTTGCAAAATGTCACGAATTGTTCGTTGTCATTGGAAAGTACTGGAAAACGGGCTTAAAATTAAAATATTGTTTCAACTTGACCTTGCACTGATGCTCGACTTAAATTCTCCGTTAAAGAAAGAAAGTTATAGTGGCCAGCCAAGCAAATATGAAATGTAGAATATAACTTAAACAAATCAAGATTTTTATGCTTTTACCCAATTCAGCCGTTGTTTTAAAACGAGTCAAAGGCTGCTAGGAGCAAGCTCATGGATGAATTGAATTAGTTTAGAAAAGACAGTTCTATATATAATCAAAGTAAAACATATACGTATATCTTTTTGGACGGTTCATTGTGTACGGACTTGCCAAAATACAGGGTGTGTGACTCGAAGCATCCGATTGCATGTGCACCTGAATTATTCAAGAAACTTGTTATCGGCGCAGCATTTCTACGATTCTACTTAACGTAAAGATCACTTTAAGGCCGATACACACGAGGGATTTTGCTCCCGGGTCATGCTCCAGAGGCAAGCTCCTCCGTGTGTACCAACGATTTCATGGGTATACTTCATCCTCGGGAGCAAAATTTCCACCCGGCAAAATGCTCCACGATATTTAACAGGTAAAATATTTGGGAGCAAGCTCCGGGGGCAAATTGAGCGAACTTGAAAACGCTCCCTCGTGTGTACTGACACGTGCAAAATCCCGGGGAGGGGGGGTACTCCCATACATTACCTATACGGGTATGTGCCGCCCAACGGGGTCGTGATTTTGAAGCTCCTGATTTACAAAGGGGTATCCATTTCAGAGGCGTTTTCTAGAACGGGGTATAATTTTTCTAACGCACGAAAGCTCCAGTTTGGTAAGCAGCCATTTGAAATTATTCAAGGACAGATTGCTTTTAAAAATACGGTTCAATGCGTTAACAAGCAAATTGTTGTACTCTTGTTGCACTCTAGAACGGAGTATAAAAAATTGGCCCATTTCTAGAAACGGGTATCAGTTTTAGCGCGAATTCTAGAACAAGGTATAAAAAATTGGCCCCTTTCTAGAACGGGGTATCAATTTAAGCAGAAATTTTTTTTAGAACGGGGTGCCAATTTGGAGTCCCGGACGGCACATACCCACCCAAAAAATACCCAAGTGCCCCCCCCCCGGGTGCAAAATGAGCCTCCAACATTCTCCGGGAGCAAAACGCCTCGTGTGTATCGGCCTTTAAGCTTATTAACGTTTTTTAGTTGTAAAGTAATTAGCTTTCTCATGTGACTGTCAAACCCTTTCCGAAAGATATTGTAATTTCTTGTAAAATAGCTACGTTTTACGTAAGGCCGAGTTTTATTTAAACCGTGGTTTAAAACAATTATTTTAATGTTCCTCGAGGGTTTCCTATAAGTGCTTTTAAATAAATGTTTTTGTATGCTGTTCACAAAGAGTACTTAACGGTTAGTATAAGTACTACGAGCTATTAAATACAGAATACAGGCGTTTATGGCTAAATTAAACTGCTTTAGAATGCGCTTTTGCTTAACACTAGCTGAAAATTGTTTTAATAGACGGACTAAGCTCGAAGCGGTACGTGCTCTGACCTACAAAAGCTAAAAGTAATTTAAACGCAGGCGAAGTATCCGATTGCCCTTTTGTACCTTAATATTCTAGAAACTTGTTTATACCATCGCAGCATTTCCTGTGGAAAATACATTAATAGCACCTATATAAATGGAATCACCGACGCGGCAAACAAAAGCCTAAGATAACCTAATTACAAAATATTCAAGCGAAATAGCGTAACGCTTGTTGGTTTTCAAACAATTTGCTTACTCATGTCACTCAGTATAAAATAAATTCCAAACGACTGATAGTGCACTGTTTGTAAAGTAAGTAGTCTTAGATAAGGCCGAGCAGTTTATTTAAACCGTCGTTTTAACAATTTATGGACCTCGCAGAGGGTTTCCTATACAAGTGAGTTATTGGAAGTAAAACGCTTTTAATACTGTTCATGACTGTTTTCTCAAAGAGTACGTAAAGCGTACATATATAACTTCGAGCACTAGCGTTTATGGCATCCGAGGACCGTTTTTTTTTTTTTTTTTTGCAGCTAAGGCTCTTTGCTTATTCGGTTTTCGCTGAGTGAAATCCCATCGTCTGGCTGCGATAGCTCTTTCACAATCTTGTCCATCGCATCTTCTCCATATCAAGTAATACCGGGAACAAATGTGCACAATTCGTCCAAATATACAAAAATAATCCACGCACAATTATTTCAACGTCCTTTTAACAATTCCAAGTCCTTTTCTTGCAGATGATATTGTCAGTGTTCTTTAGAATACTATATTTCCATTTCTACAAAACCCATCTTCGGCTTCGGCTGGCGACTCAATGAGTCGGGAAAAAAATGTACGCCTTACTAGTACCCTCTAGACTTGCCAAACATATGCGTAAAAGGCACTTGGAACAAAAGTAATACTAAGTAAGGGAGGTAAGGGTAAAGTGTTTTTTTAGTTGTAAAATTATTTCCTTTCTCATGTGACTGTCAAACCCTTTCCGAAAGATATTGCACTTTCTTATAAAATAGCTACGTTTTACTTAAGGCCGAGTTTTATTTAAACCGTGGTTTAAAACAATTATTTTAATGTTCCTCGAGGGTTTCCTATAAGTGCTTTTTAATAAATGTTTTTGTATGCTGTTCACAAAGAGTACTTAACGGTTAGTATAAGTACTAAGAGCTATTAAATACAGAATACAGGCGTTTATGACTAAATTAAACTGCTTTAGAACGCGCTTTTACTTAACACTAGCTGAAAATTATTTTAATAAACGGACTAAGCTCCAAGCTGTACGTGCTCTGACCTACAAAAGCTAAAAGTAATTTAAACGCAGTCGAAGTATCCGATTGCCCTTCTGTACCTTAATATTCTAGAAACTTGTTTATACCAACGCAGCATTTCCTGTAGAAAGCGGCAAACAAAAGCCTACTGGGCAATGATAACCGGCTAATTATTCAAGCAAAATAGCGTAACGCTTGTTGGTTCTCGAACAATTTGCTTACTCGTGTCAATCAGTATCAAGAAATTCCAAACGAATGATAGTGCACTTTTTTGTAAAATAAGTAGTCTTAGATAAGGCCGAGCTTTCTTTAAACCGTCGTTTTAACAATTTATGGACCTCGATGGTTTCCTATATAAGTGAGTTATTGGAAGTTAAACGCTTAATACTGTTCATGACTGTTTTCTCAAAGAGTACGTAACGCTTAGATATATAACTTCGAGCAACTAGCGTTTATGGCATTCGAGGACCGTTTTTTGCAGCTAAATGGAGAACGTTACTAAGCAACGACGAAATTTTATTTCTCTACCTAAGCCTGGATATGCTTCCTTAATATATAGCAAGGCTAAAAAGAGATTTATTTGTAGAATTATAAGAATTTTTAGTAGTGAAAAAACGAAAATAGATTAAAAGAATGATAATAATGAATAAGTGAAATAAATACTTAAACTAAGCTGTTGGCCCAATAACAGGAACACAGAGTCACTAATAACTGATCCAAAAGGAAAAATCAGAATAAATAGAAACAGGGTACATTAAATTACATTTATTAACCGCTCATTAGATTTAAATTGAACAAACAGTGTGAATTTTTACATTCTTGGTAAGAAAGAAATAATTGATTCTTTGGTGGAAAACTGGCTGATAGTTAGGTATTCAGATTCACTTGTATTTTATTGTAAAAGCATGTCTACTAAAGTAGAGAGTATTTGAGACAATAACAACAAAAATGGTGGTGAGCCCCGGTTTGGCGGATTTCGTCAATGAGAGGGCAGAGTCTGTTTCTCTGTTTTCCCTAGCGATTTAACAAACCTCCGCAATTCATAGTGGATCTGATACTGTGTCTTATAGAAAAAAAAACTCCTCCATTTTAATTTAGTTTTAAAGAAATCAAAGTATTTCTTTGCAAATAGATTTAATAAAAAAAATGTGCAGCGCAAAATTGAGATCTGGAAACCATAATTTAAAGTGGCTCGATAGGGTTTTTCAGGGTCAATACCTCCCAAATTTGAGCATAAACTACGTCGCCGTTAACAAAGATTTGGAAAAATTACCATCACAGCTGTATTGGAAGAAGATGATAATTTGTTATGATCAGGGTAACAATAACATCGGAGTTGCCATAGTAACGAATTTACGTCCGATTACCGTTTTTACTTGAAGCCGCATTTTTCAACACTTTAATCTCTTCTTCCAAAATCGTGCACGGGAGCTTTTACTTCCAATAGCCGCCTCGATGTTCGTAAAGTTTAAGCAAAATCTTTAAGAGCGTTATCTAGATATTTTGGGATGAAGTTTTTATGGTCAGCAATATGGTAAAAAACTGGAGTGTCTTCATGTTCGGCCGTTATCTGTAGAAAACGAAGCACTTTTGAAATGAAAATTTACCTCATAGTAATTTCAACCTCTTTTAAAACGCGTGTGAAAGATCATTGGGATAGCTTCAGCCGATTGCTAGAAAGAAGGATTTGATTAGTTTATACTGAGGCGCTCTTGTTAGCGGTTTTGTAAACACTTTGATCTTCTTATTAAAAATAAGTTCTTTGTCACACTTCCAATGATCCTACAACAATCGTGCACAGTTCTCATGTTCCACATCCTTGCAATTTTTCTTTTAAGCTCCGGATATTTTTATTTTTACTATTCATTATTATTATCATCATTATCATCATCATCATCATCATCATCATTAATAGTAGTAGTAGTAGTGGTAGTAGTAGCAGTAGCAGTAGTAGTAGCAGTAGCAGCAGCAGCAGTAGCAGTAGCAGTAGCATTACCAGTAGTCATCATTATCCCTGGGCATTGTTATCCCGAAGTTAAGAAATTGTTACTGAAACGTTTTTATAATCATTAATTGTATCAAGCCTAGCCTTAATCACCGCAGTTTCTATTTTATGTTTTATGTTCGAAGATAGTCATTTACAAATTTAGAAGAGAAGGTCAACGGGAAACTGAAAAAGTTAATTTATCCCCTTTCCTACTCAGGGTGAAAGTGATGGAGGGGGAGGGGGTCTATGGTGGCTCAATTCTCGGCCGGTCCAAAGACCTTGAACGCAAACCCTGAATTTGTTCCACTTCACACACGTGCATTGTCCACGCGTGAATTTTTCCACCTATGACATTTATTTGCTGCCACTCTTCCTTCTCTAAGAGGCTTTTTCATGGCAGGGGACTTATTTTGGCGAAGGTTGTTGATAAATCGACGAACCCTGTGCTTTTCACAATAAAGAATTCGTTTCAAATGTCAGAGATGACAAGGGCATTTGGATGTACGTGCAAAAATGTCATCCTGGGGGTATTTGTTCAAGATGGCATTTCCTAATAGTTTTGAACTTTATCCTCTGTATCGTAGTTTGTTTACTTTTTAAATCATAAAGCATTGCAAAGCGTTGCATATATGTGAAGGTGGTTTGGAGACTCCCTACTTCAAGCCTACCCATAAAATGGGGCATCAGGTGTGTCTTGTAGAAGGGCGTGCCGAATGAAAATGACCAAATAAACCAAAATAAACCACGTCAAAATTCATTTAATTCCCTCATACAGGAGATAAAAACACATAAAAGCACTGCAGAGCCTTAGCGGCTGTAGTTTTGAAGCAAAGGTGCTGTTTCTTTGGCCAGACCTGCTGCTGTTTTGATAGGTGATTAGTGTATGGCATCACACAACATTGCATGCTGACGAACATCTTCTCAAAGCATTTTCCATGTATCTGAAATAAGTGTAAAGTAGGTAATTATAAAAAGCGGACTATTTTAGTCCAGCGAACTACGGGAAGACAGTATAGAACGTGAATTGTTAGTATGAGAGATTGGAAGGGAAATGAAACACCAAGTTGCGTAATCAAAAGAACATTTCACAGATGAGTATAAATGAATAAAATAGTCAGTGGACAATGAAATAGCCAGGAACCGGCATCAATTTTATGCATGAGCCATAAGCTATTAAAACACAAAGGGTCTTAATTATATAGTTAGGAATATTAAATCTTAGCATTCCCCGAGCGATTTGCTCTTTTCGTTGCTACTTGAGGTGGCGAGTGAAAAAACATAAAGAGGTAGTTCAGCTTTGCAACACTTTCTTCAGCACATGGAAAAAATTCATGGACCGGAAACTAATTGCTTACTTCAGGGGCACCCAACGAGAATATAGTTGAAAACCACTTGAACATAGCATTGTTAAACGTATTTTAGTATTAAAACGGTAGGTATAGGCATATTTTTATCCCCTAAAAATTTTTTATCTGTTCGGATTTCCTAGCTGAAAGTCTAGTGATTCGAAAATTATAGGGATCAAAACTTACCTTTTCGAAAATTTCAGCCAGAAAAAAGGCTCCCGAAAATTGTAGGTGACCTTTTTGAGGTAAAAATCCGTTAAAAATGGGCAGTTATACCATTTTTTAGATGTTCGAAAATCCTAGGAGAGGCAGACAAGCAAGAAATTTTGGAATGTTCCGAAAATTATAGATCTCAAATCGTCTTCCGAACAGGTATTTTCCGAAAATTGTCGTTCGGTGCCCCTGTTACTTAATCCAACTGATAATTTGTGTCAGCTTTACTGCTACCTTTGCCATTTAAACCATCAGTGAAAACTGATGCAAACAACTCTGTTTCAGCTACAATTTTACATTCAGGAGAAATGGCCCTCACTTGTCTATGGCGGAGAGCCCGTTTGCAGAAAGCCACAAAAGGTTACAAACTTGATATTATTAGAACTTTATACAATGTAAGAACACCATGACATCCTCTCGCTGACGAACGTAAATTGTCGTTTGACTTTTACAACACATTTTGCAATAATTTCAATTTAGATTGACAAGAAAATCGTGAAAAACGCAAGTTCATCCTGATTAAGAATGGTCACAAAATGATTGTATGAGTGATCATGATTTCATTGCACAAGATTGATCAAAGACAATTTAATAGACGACCCTAAAAACATCTTCCAATTCCATGTTTAATTGCATCTATCAAGAGATCGTCTCGCTGACGACGAACGTAATTGTCTGTTGGCTTTAACTGCACATTTTAGAATAATTCCAATAGTTTTAGGTTGACAAGAAATGAACAAAGCAAGTTCACCCTGATAAGAATGATTACAAAATAATTGTATACAAGTCATCATGATTGCATCGCACAAGATTACAGAGAATTCAACCAGCGCCATTAAACATATCTTTCAATTCCATGTTTGAATGCATCTATTTCCCAAATTCAAGTCCCATCTCATGAAACGAAAGATGCGATCAGTGCCGAAATCAACCGAGCTGTGACATCAGTTGAAACGTACCCCGTATAAGATGAGCTTTACCAACCTGGTTGTGGCACTTTTAAAGAAGCACAGTCAAAATACATCTTCTCAACCAAAAGCACTTACAATTCAAAGGCATTAGCACAACTCAAAGGAAGATGGTATTTGAGGATGTGATGATGTTAGTCGCGACCTGTAAATTTCACCTCATTCAGTCGATGTATACTAATATAAACATCTGGATGAGTCGTTTTATATAGTGAAACCACTAGCAGTGATTTAGATTAGCAGACAAACTCTATGATCCTTTAAAGGTTTTGTTAGTAGTGCTACTTATTTTAGGTAGCTTTGATTAGGTACATTAATTTTACGGAGAGCAATCAATTAGAACGAAAACATTTTCAAAAGACAACTCCTAATTCAAAGCAAAAAGAATTCAATACCACACACAGGCTACGCATTTTTTGGCTCCATTAAATGATCTCCAAATGACTCGTTTACAGACAAAAGATATAAAATCGTATACTTTGACATCAGTGTTTAGGACGTAGTGAAAGCCAGCAAACCTCACTAAACAACGCAAAAAAACAATGCCAGCTAAGCCACACAGTCAGGTTTTAAAAATAATGTTTGAAAAGTATAATGTATGTAAGTGCCACGACTGTAAACCTAATTTAATACTTAACAAAAAACCATAAGAGAAATAAATGTCAAACGAGTGTCTGAATATTTTTCATTAACATACAACTTCTCTTTCAATTTAGCCTTGGCCAGAAAAACTCAATTAACAATGGCGTTCCAAAGAATATTCATACAGCAGTAGTTTCGTTTCACCTGCTCGACAAATTACATTTAGTTCTTATGGGATTTACAATGGTGAGCCAAAGAAAGGTATTCAGACATCCGACCTGTATTTGATGTATCTATAGGAAAACGTATTACAAGCTTCTTGGGAATAATGAATACTTCATGCGTCAGAGCCGACCGAACGGTGTAGCTTGGTTTAATGACAATTGAAGAAGACATTTCAATGTTAATGGTCTCACTTCTCTTTTATCTGGTATGGCTGTAAGGTTTTCTTAACACTGAAACCCCATACGGAGAGGAACATGTCAAAGGGAACACTGATTTAGCCAAATTCAATAGTGAACTAAGGCCATGAAGTATGTCATCTTTTAGCTCTCATAGATCAGTGAAATGTTAGCATGATCCATGTGGCAACTAACACCAATAACAGAATGCTGACTATACGGTATCCGAAGTTTAATTCTTTGAAACACAGAAGGTTTGAAGATAATACTAGCTTTATTTTTTGCAAAAGTGGGGCCAACATTGGCTCTTTAATGACAGTGCAGTAATGTCTTCGGTGATAATTTGATTCGTGATCACTGCTATCACTCCTGACTATACCGTAAAGAAACTGTAACGATGAATTAACTCATATCACCCGCAGATTCTAGTCGCTAATCAAGCCAGTTCAACTTGATGGAAATTAGTCTCTGTACATATGAAAATGCCGGGCAGTTTCATGCGCGAACCATACCTTTAAATCAAGCGAATTGTGGAGTCAAAGTATGGATGAAATAAACAGCTGAAACAGTGGCGACGAACACGACGAGAAAGCTACAAAGAATAAAAAAAGGAAGGAAAAAAACTAATAAAGAGATGAAAAACCTGTTAATACTAACCTACTAAGTCCCCGCTAGAACAAGGCCTTCAGCGTAGATTATACGAGTGCAAATCTACAACAACAAGAGAAAGCAGGTCGATCGTGGGTACATTCGATCGTAACATCCGGGCAATGTCTCGTCATAAGTTTAGTAATGAATATCACCCAATTGGCCACAATGCCCAAATGTAGCCTACATTTGTCGGTTGCAGTTTCATCTGTTTTTACGCCTCTTTTGGTTGCTGTAACATCGCATGATCTCTAACTCCGGTTTCGTTTTCACCAAGTATTCCAACAACGAAACTGACATTGTTTCTTGCGTCACCTTATTTTGCACCGCCTACCCAAGCCGTTTTATTAAATTTGTCCTCAGTTATAAAAACTTCACAACACCTTTTATTTCTCTTGCCAAGGTTAAGAAAGAAGGAACAGTGGAAATTTTCCAAACCTTTTTACAACAAGTATCTCTTTACATTTTTTTAGCAAAAAAGCACTTAACCTAAAATGTTGATAAGCACTTGCCAAAATACAGTGTGACTCGAAGTATCCGATTGCATGTGCACCTGAATCATTCAAGAAACTTGTTATCGGCGCAACATTTTACGATTCTACTTAACGCAAAGATCACTTTAAGCTTATTAACGTTTTTTAGTTGTAAAATAATTAGCTGTCTCATGTGACTGTCAAACCCTTTCCTAAAGATGTTGCACTTTCTTGTAAAATAGCTAAGTTTTACTTTAGGCCGAGTTTTATTTAAACCGTGGTTTTAAATAATTATTTTAATGGGCCTCGAGGGTTTCCTGTAAGTGCCTTTAAATGAATGTTTTTGTATGCTGTGTCACAAAGAGTACTTAACGGTTCAGGGGCGGATCAAGGATTTTTTTTAGGAGGGGGTGCACTCGTCTCTTGGTCTACTTCAACACCAATAAACCACATAGTTTATTTTTTTTTTGCAGAATACCAGTCGTATTAGAAAACCGCAGGTCATCTCGGGGGGGGGGGTGCGCACCCCCTGCACCCTCCCCCTAGATCCGCCCCTGCGGTTAGTATAAGTACTACGAGTTATTAAATACAGAATACAGGCGTTTATGGCTAAATTAAACTGCTTTAGAACGCGCTTTTGCTTAACACTAGCTGAAAATTATTTTAATAAACCGACTAAGCTCGAAGTTGTACGTGCTTTGACCTACAATAGCTAAAAGCAATTTAAACGCAGTCGAAGTATTCGATTGCCCTTCTGTACCTTAATATTCTAGAAACTTGTTTATACCAACGCAGCATTTCCTGTAGAAATTACATTAATAGCACCTATAAATGGAATCACCGACGCGGCAAACAAAAGCCTAACCTGGCCTACTGGGCAAAGATAACCTACAGTGAAACCTGTATTAAGCGGACACCCTTGGGGAATGCTGTAATGTCCCCTTAATACAGGGTGTCCGCCTAATACAGGTTTCGATAGATAACGTTATATGAGGTGTCAAATGCCATTCAAATGAACAGTGGAAACGTTTAGAATACTCCTAGAGACTATGACGATATACGTTTGCGTTTATTTCTTTAGTAAAGAGGACCAATTGATCATAGTACCATAAACATAGATTGCAACTCAAATTTGAAGAACTCAGATGAGTGAAACAAGCTCTATACAAACTAAACGAAATAGTATTACTGTTACTAACGTCTTTCCATAGCCCCCACTATATATTGCGATATTTTCCCTTTATTTCAATTTTTTTTACTGTATTAATATTAATAAGTAACATCTTGTTCCTAAAGAGGGTGAGTTTGGCTAACCGAAATCTTGCGAGCTGTTGATAAATTGTTTGAGCGATTCTGTTTTTTTCTTTTTGGTCCTTTCGCAGACCCGAAGTAGTTGTAATAGTAAAATCCTTCACAGTTTTACATTTCAAATAAAACCATCAACGCCAGGGGGGATGTTGCTACTTTTTTATATTATTCCAGAATGAGATTGATGTTTTACTTACTGAATTTACATAAGAGTTTATAACGAAACTTTTGTAGCGTACACCAATATAACCGAATCTTCAAAAAACATTACCTGTCAAGGTTCCAAATCTTATCAAGATTATCCTCTTAAATTAAGGACAAAAAGTCAAAACAAATGGACAAAAAAAACTGTTCTATTGTTTCTGGCTTGATTAACGTTTATCGCATTTAAACATATATTGGCATCCTTTAGTCTCGAAAGACGATGGTGTTCCCCTCTGATTGGTGGTTCTCGAACAGCGCCTTGTGTGGCTGAAAAGACCAATTCGGGAATGACGTGACAGTCCCTTCCACGCAGTGAGAAGATGTGGTCAGTTGCTGGTCTATATCCCTGGTTTCGGGCCTTCCTCGTGTGTCTCTTTGTTTCAGCCTGTTCGGCAAGTGTATTTTCAAACTCGGAAAGGCCTTGCTGCACTGCCTGCCTCCAAGCTGAACGCTCTGAAGCCAAGGTTTCTCATCCGTTGATATCAATGACCAAGGCCTTCAGGTCCCTCTTGCAGACATCTTCATAGTCATTAAACAACCGTTTTGCTATTTCCAACAGTACAAATTCTTTAGCCTTTCATGTGACCGTGATACTCCTGCCTTTTTCGGCAAAGGGGATCAAATGAGGTGTCTGGGTAACTGACCACCTTATACCCTTCCCCTTAGTCAACATTAACACTTACTTCTCGCTTAGGGCAAAATGTTGCCTTATGGGAGAAGTAGGTGGTCAGTTACCCAGACACCCCAACTGAAGATTCTATGTGGTGATCCTTGCATTGGTGGTCGCTTGAACGGAGTCTTTATCTCACCGCGAATTTCAGATGGCATTCGCTTACTCTTAAACTTGCCTCTACTCTTACACTTACTTCACCTTGCTCCTTTTTCTTTTTATTGACAGTTGTCTATTGTTTGTACATATCTAAAGATCTACGGATAAAGGGAAGGACAATGCCAAACTCCTTTACCCATGCATTAAGCGGAAAATTAGAGGGGACAACATGCATAGTTGAACCTGACCTTCCATTCCGCCTTTAACGTCAAGCAGACACAGGCATGTTAACTTTTATCTCAATACATCCAAATGTCACCACAGACATTTGGCACATTTAACTAGAAACATTTTACGCCGCTTGTTCTGCATGTTGTGCTTTTTGTTCAGGAAAGAAGGATAACTACCATTGGCCACCCGACATCTCGCTACTTCTGACTTCATGTCGTAGCCATAGTAGCTCATAGTAACCCAGACAATTTTCTACAATTTTTTGTCACTAAATTTATTTATTTAAGCAGTAACAAAAAGCTTTAGAAGAGAAAAGATTCCGGCAAAAGGTTATCGGCGACAAAAAATCATGTCTCCATATGTCCTTTTGAGATTGTATCATCCTTCACCCTCACTAGGTGATTACATAATTACATACAAACAAACATACAAAATTAAAAGAAAACAGACAAACATTTTAAAAGGGAACAAAGCATGAAAACGTTCCTTCGCCACAACACAATTCTGATCGTAAGCTTTCCGACATTCGCACGTAAGAGTATGCTTTGTGTCCTCCATTTTATGAC